CCCTGGAGAATATGATGAGAAAAATGTCTATTCTATAGCTGTTGGATAAAATGTTCTATAAATGTCTGTGAGGTCCATTTGGTCTAATGTATAATTTTATCTCTGATTTTTGGGTTTTGTTTTTAGAATGTCAATATCCTAGAATTTTGACAGTTTGATTTTAATATGCCTTGGAGAGAATATTTCTCGATCAAATCTATTTGGGGTCCTTTGGGATTCTTGGATCTGGATTTCTCTATCTCAGGATTTGGGAAAATTTCAGTCATTATTTTGTTAAATCATTTTTCTATACCTTTTCCCTAAAGTTTCTTGTGAAAATATATTTGGTCACAAAATAAGTCTCATTAATTTTCATGCCCTTCCCCTATAATTCTATGCCTTCTCCTATAATGTGAATGTTTGCTTAATATTGTTGGAGAATCTTGGTAGGCTTTCTTCGTCTATYATTTATTTATTTGTCTGACTGGCGTTATTTTAAAGACCAGTCTTCAAGTTCAGAAATTCTCCCTTTTGCTTGATGTAGTCTCTTGTTGAGCTTTTCAATCATACTTTCATTTCATTTACTGAGTTCTTCAGCTCCAAGATGTCTGTTTAGTTCATTTTTATAATACATATGTCTTTACTAATTTTTCTTTCAGATCATGAACTTTATTGAATTGTCTGATTCTCTTATATCTTATTGCATTTCCTTGGAATTATTATTTTGAATTATTTTTCAAACATTTTTTTCCAATTTCTTTTTTTGGGGGAGGGGCGATCTATTGCTAGAAAATTATTGCCTTTCTTTGGAGGAGTCATGTTAGCTTGCTTTTTCTTAATCTGGACATMTTTCTTTCTTTCTTTCTTAGCTACACATGACATTACAACGATCTTGGCAATTCTTACATTTGAAACAACTGGGGTATAATTTCTTATTTTTCTGATTGTACAGATTGCAAAATCACACTGGTCATAGAGTCACCTATATACATACAGCAATCATATTGTCTATTCTATTCTGCTGCCCTTCCTATCCCCCCTTCCCCTCCCCTCCCCTCCCCTCCCATCCTTTCTCTCTATCCAATCTAATGTGACACACTTTTTTTTCTTTTTCTCATCACAACATCATACATGTATTCTGTATAACAATGAGGTTCTCCTTCCATCTTCCGTGCAACTCCTCTTCTCCTTCCTTTTCCCTCTCACTTCTCTTCCCTATTTAGTGGTAGTCTTCTTCTCATGCTCTTCCTCCCTATCCCATTTTGAGTCACCCCCCTTATATCAGAGAAGACATTCAGTATTTGTTTTTTAGGGATTGACTAACTTAGCATAATCTGCTCTAATGCCATCCATTTCCCTGAAAATGCCATGATCTTGTTATTTTTTAGTGCTGAGTAATATTCCATTGTGTATAAATGCCACATTTTTTAAATCTATTCGTCTATTGAAGGGCATCTAGGTTGGTTCCACAGTCTAGCTATTGTGAATTGTGCTGCTATAAACATTGATGTGGCTGTGTAATCTGGACATCTTTTAGTTGATATTTGCATATCTGGTGGCTTACTTGTCTCTACCAGTTTTTTAGGATGTTTTTTTATTTTTGTTTTTGGTATGTGTATTAATCAGATTTCCATCACTGTGACAAAATACTGGAGAGAAACAACTTATAAGGAGGAAAGGTTTATTTTGGCTCACAGTTTCAGAGGATTTGAAACTTCATCACTTGTCCCTGTTGCCTTTGGGCCTGTGKCAAGTCAATACATCATGGTGGAGAGTGTGTGGCAGAAGAAGTTGCTCACATCATGGTGGCTGGGAAGGGAAAAAACAGAGGAAGGGCCTGGGTCTCAATATCCCCTTTGAGAGTATACCTCAGGGACCAGGCCCCACCTCTTAGAGGTCCCACCACCTTCCGGGGGCACCACAGGCTGGAGATCAAGCCTTGACTCATAGGTCTTTGGGGTACACTTACCAAAACCATAGGTCGGAGTGAGACTTTTCCCTGGAGATGTGTCTTGGGTGCTGCTGAGGAGGCTACGTTGGTGGCAGTTCTGGGTGGGCATRGTGGTTTAGTCCTCCTTCCGCTTCTCCTCTGAAATCAGTGATGCCTGTGGGCGTGGGTGTGCCTGTGGCTCTGGCATGGTGTGTTTTGCTGTGGGTAYGGGGCACCCATCAGTTTCTGGGGGCTGGGTGGGGGCAGAGCCGCTCTGGTGGGCCCAGGGCACCGGTCAGATCCTGAGGGTTGCGTGGGGTGGAGCTCCTCCAGCAGGCCCAGAGTGGGAGTGGTGTGGGGCATGCAGCGGGGCTAGGGCGGTGGGCGGAGGGTGGGGTGGGGGTGGCCTCAAAATGGCGCCATGCAGCATCTGCCAGGTTGAAAGAAGGTGCAGCATGGACTGGGCTCCCTCTCTGGGGCAATGGAGAGGTGGACACTCATGTCAGCTCCCCTGCTGGGCTCCGGGCTGCAGGACTCCCCAGGGGTGAAACCTCAGGTGTCTGTGGCGTCAGTGGGGACCGCTGGGGTCCTCCCGCTTGCGACACAAGGCACTTCCCTCCCTTCTTTATAAGGCCACGATCCACAGCTTCTCCATTTTATCCGMACGACACTCCAGTGTTCTCCTCTAAATGTTCTTGTCAGATAGAAGCTGTTGATTCTTTGCTGAGGTCCCTCTTTGTGGGTGGGAAGCTGTCTGGCACCTCTGCTAAGCCATCTTGCCAGAAGTCCCTGAAAAATTAGAACTGTACACTCTCAAGGGGTCAATTTCATATTATATGAATTTTATCTCAAAAAGCTGTTAAAAAGCTTTGTGACCTTGGGTTAAATAAAGATTTCTTTGATATGATGAAAATATGATCCATAAAGTTATATATTGGATTTCATCTAAAGAAAACTATATGATTTTCATTCCACAGAAGAAAAAAACTGTATGAAAAAACGCACCAGATCAGTGTTGGCCCGGGCCTGAGGGGCTGGCTTTCGAGGGGCACCGGGAAACTTCTGGGGGTGATGGGACTCTTTTCTATCTCAACCGTGGTAGTGGATATGAGTCCTATGGGTTTGTCCAACTCTAAGAAGTTTCCCTTGAAAAGAATGAAGATTATTTTATATTTATATATTCTAATAATAATATTAGACCTTACATTTTTTGATCAGAAAAATAAATATAAAGAAAAAATAATGCTGTGTTAAATTATTTTGTGCACAGACATCTAATGTATACAAACTTCTAGAGATTTTGATAAATACTTACAACTACCCCCCAGGGTCACACTTGTCACCATGTCCTACTCAGAGCAGGACTTAGGGGCTTAGTGACATCCCCCACTCCTGAAGCCACTTGTCCTGATGGAAGGAAAACAGCATGTGTGTTGGAGATAAAGACAACCTCTGAACCAGGGGTCTGAGGACTTGGCAAAGGTATTGGGAAGGGCAGGATGTGTAAGGAAAATACAACACATCTCCTGTTAGCCAGGAGGTTTGAAGTGACAACTGAATCTCCTTCCCATACCCGCAGTGCCTAACCCCAGGAACAGCAATGAGGTTGGAAGAATAAATGGATTAATAAATGAGAGCGTTAACAGACAGTAAAAGTTTACAGTCAGCAAAAACAAAAATTCTTTGGTTTGGGATCTGGGGGTTCAAGCTCAGGTTAAGACTCGGGCCATGCAAGCTGGAGACTTGCTGCTGAGTTCCATGTAAGGAGAAGCAAGGTGGCTCGGGTGGGTACCTGGAGGACACATGATCCTGGGGGTCCACCTTGGTCCCTGCAACCCAGCAGAGCAGATGACATGGCTACAGGATGTCAGAGCCGATCCTTTTGGTTCTCTTTCTGGGAGACAAAGTGAAGGGTGGGGTCATGGGCCAAATGCTGGGTCATTTCATCTGGAGCCAGGCGCCTGTGGAGGCCAGATAGGGCGGGGGCAGGAAGCTGTGGGGGCCTGCCTGTGTGCTGGCAGGGAAAGGACAGGGGAGGAAGGGGCTGTGGGGTGGGCAGTTTGGAAAGGAGGAGGCTGAGGGGAAGCCTTGCGGTGTCTTTAGGAAGCCTGCAAGAGGGAGTGGGGGGTCTAGAGAGAGCTGGTGGGTGAGTAGAGATTACTGGAGTAGAGGCAGAGAGAGGAAGAGAGACAGGAGGAGAGGCAGCGTGTGTGTGTGTGTGTGTGTGTGTGTGTGTGTGTGTGAGAGAGAGAGAGAGAGAGAGAGAGAGAGAGAGAGAGAGAGAGAGAGAGAGAACGTGCACACTCATGCATCAGACCACAGGAACCTTTTCCCAAACCCAAATGTTCTTCTCTGAATCTTACAATTTGCATCATTTCCTCCCCATGACAAAAATAAGATGGCACGTGAGCCTGAAGAGGTTATTTGCACCAGTGAACAGAAATGACATGCGGGTGGAGTCTGCGAGGAGAGGTGGGGCCACGGAACAAACTTTKTTGTTGTTGTTGTTGTTGCAATGAATGAATGAGCGAGTGAACGGGAGTGGGCAAGAGAGTAAGTGTAAGTGAATGTGCAAGAGCTCTTCGTGAATGTGTGTCTAGGGTTCAGCCAGAGGTCTCTGTCCCTGCGTCCCAGCCTGGAGGATTCCGGGAAAGTCTGTACCAGAGGATCCAGAATCCTCGCAGCAGCCTCTGCCTGGATCTCCTGTCTCTGATTAGGAGACTTTCCAGGGAATGGTTTCCGGGGAAAACCCAGGGAGGGCAGCCGAGCTGTCTGATTCAGTGAGCCCTCCCGGGGTTGGGGGCCCCCAACTGGGTGGAGCAGCCACACCTGCTTCAAGTTCTAAGGAAGAGGGCGGAAACAGTCACCAGTGCCGCTCTTGCGATAGGCTCCTTGGGCCCCTGCGGTCTGCTGGTGGCAGTGGGTCCCACACTCCCTCACTTCCCTAAATGGGCAACTTCACTTTTAGAACCCAAGGTCCTTCCCTGGTTAGACCCAGGTGGCACGTCCTGCGTTGGCCTGGGCCCTCACCTTGGATCCCCCAGGTGCCCTGGCCCCTTGCTGGGCCTCTGACTGCCCATCTGGATGGAGCATGGCCCCCATGTTCCTGCTGCTGCTGCTATGGCTACAGGACTGTGTCTCAGGTGAGAGGAATGGGGGGGTGCTGACTTGAGGGGGGGATGCTGATCTTTCCCTGTCCCCTGGGCTCTGCTTGTCCTTGCCCAATTGTCTGAATGTTTGTGAGTTGGGGGAGGGGTAGGAGGTTGGGCTGGCTTAGTAGGTCCTTGGCAGACAGGTAAGAATGTTCCATCCTGATATCTGGCCCCAGGCAGAGCTAAGCCCAGGCCTCATGCGGGAGCTGGGGTGCAGCTTTGGACCCTCTACATTGGCCCCTGTGTTTCCTAGGCTCCCCTGGGACCCAGAACCAGGGACCCTTGCTTGGCCTCTGTCAGGAAGGTCGTGACTGACAGGAGCCCATGGCTTCATAAACTCTCTTTGAACTCACTCTTTCTCGGAATGCTGACGCGGCATCCGGTCCCTTGGTGCTGTCCTGAAGGGAGCCAATCCCTGAAGGCCTCGCCCAGCCACGGCTACTAAGTCTTTGAAGGGGCCTCACCCATTCCTGCCTCCCTTGCTGCCAAGGCGACCAAATTACCACTTCCTGTTCTGTTCTGGGCATGGGGAGGGTTGGCAAAGTCTGCTCTCACCTCCTGTGAGAGGAGAGGTAGGTGTAGGCAAAAATGCACCACCCCTGGGCAGAAGGGTTTCTCTCCTGGGCTCAGAAGTCCCAGGCTCCCTCACTGAATAACTGAGTTGGATCATTGTGTTTAGTTTTCAAGGGTCAAAGTGTTGTTTGGAGAAAGCACTAGTTTACTCAGAGGCTCAGCTGTAATGGCAGTTGGGTTGGAAACTGGAACAGATGTCTGGGTTCTGGGCCCTTAACCATCATGCTCTGGGCTCCTCTGGGGAAAGCTGGAACAACCTGCATTTGAGAGCAGGAAATGTGCATGCATTGAGCACTTACTGTGTTCAAGGCACTCCCATGGGGCATCCTTCTCACAGCAGGCTTTGAGGGGAGTGACATTATTCTCACTTGACAGATGGAGAAACAGAGATGCTAAATGAACTGCTCAGAGAGTTAAGCAGTTAAAATAGAGTTTTCACCCATGTCTCATTTTGACTCTCTGATCTATCTTACTTCAGATAAGTGTGTGTGTGTGTGTGTGTGTGTGCGTGCATGCGTGCGTGTGTGTGTGTGTGTGTGTAAAGTTCTGGGGTGCAACTGTTAGAGGAGAAAATGCTGAGCTTACACAGGCCCTCCCTGTGTCCCAAGTCCTCTCCACCATACCATGGATTATGAAGGACTCAAACCACATTTTCTCTCCAGGCACAGTATTTAAGATATTGTAAACAAGCAGTGAATAATTGCAGAATTCTTGGGAGTTTATTTGTGTATGTGGGCATACTTGATCTTTAGGTTTTATGTAACTAGAATATTTAAAAATTAAATGCCACTTAGAATGAACGAAGGTCACACGGTATTTAAAAGGCGGCTGTAATGGGGGTGGGGCTGCAGCTCAGCGGTAGATCGCTGGCCTGGCATGCATGAGGCCCTGGGTTCAATGCCCAGCACCCTCCTCCCCACAGCTCCCACGCCAAGACTAAAGTGAACCTGTTTGGGAAATAAATAGCTACTCTTCATTTTCCCCCCAAATATTGGACTTTCTTATCTACCTCAGTGGTTTGTGTTTTGAATTTCCAGACTTAAGACTTGTCATTATGCATGAGCATCTGTCTCATGGAGGTGGCATCTGGATCTTTCCCAAAAGACTAGGAATCCCTGAAGACTAGAAAATACCGTGAAGGAGGGGCTGTGTCTGATGGAGCTCCGAACACTAGGGCTGAGTTTCCTGCATTAGACTTGGGACTCCCTGAAGGACAGGTCAGCCTCCCCCACAGACGGGGAGCCAGCTGTCTGCAGACCTGTGCATCTCCTGCATCAGAGGGGGGAGCTCTAGGGTAGCGGAGGGGCAGCGGAGCCCCTCCTTCACCTTTGGCCAGGCGCTGAGGTTCAAGGTGCATTCAGCTCCTCTCTCTCCAGACCTTGCTCAGCGGGTTGTGTCTCCCCAGGTCTCCCCGCTGAGAGCGTGTACACCAAAGTGCAGCACCTGGAAGGGGAGACCCTGTCTGTGCAGTGCTCCTACAAGGGCCGCAAAAACCGMGTGGAGGGCAAGGTTTGGTGCAAGGTCAGGAAGAGGAGGTGTGAGCCCGGATTTGCCCGGGTCTGGGTGAAGGGGCCGCGTTACCTGTTGCAGGACGACGTCCAGGCCAAGGTGGTCAACATCACCATGGAGGCCCTCAAGCTCCAGGACTCGGGCCGGTATTGGTGCATGCGCAACAGCTCCGGGATCCTCTACCCCATGATGGGCATCCAGCTGGAAGTGTCTCCAGGTGAGCAGGCATTCCAGGGCACTGCGATGGCCCGTGCGCACCTGTGTGTGTGCGCATGTGCGTGTGTGTGTCCTCCACTAACATCCAACAGAATAAGAATCATAATCCATAAACAGATTAAACAGATTATGGGCAATATTTATTTATTTATTTATTTATTTATTTATTTATTTATTTATTTAATGGTGGTTCTGGGGATTGAACCCAGGGCCTTACACACGCTAGGCAAGTGCCTCTCACTGAGCTACATCCCTGACACTTAAAAAAAAATTTTTTTGTTTTGAAATTGTCTTACTAATTTGCTGAGACTGGTCTCCAATTTATGATCCTCTTGCTTTAGCTTTCTGTGTCACTGGAATCACAGGCATGTGTACCATATCTAGCTAGTTCATTTTACAAGATGAAAAAATGAGATCTAAAAAAACGCTCCATGGCTCTGACCTTGCCCTGGGACACGGAATCAACAGGCAGCAGAGAGGAGATTTGAACCCAGGACTCTGCTTTGTTTTCTTCAGACCTCAGTTCAACAGCTATTCACTGAGCCCCGATGATGTGTTCTAGGCACTGTTCTAGGTTCTGGGAATACAGTGGTGAGCAGAATCAGCCACAGTCCTGCCTTAGGAGGGAGGCCAGGTAACAATACCTCATCAGATAAATGATTTCAGGCAACAATAAATGTCCCTAAGCAATGTGATGAACTAGAAAGTAACTCAGAGATAGGGGACGTCCTGAGGATCAGAGGCCACCTCCCTGAGCAGACGCCATCAAGCAGAACCCTGAAGGATGGGGCCCCTGCAGCCTGATGAAATCTGAGTGCTTGGAAGGGCCTTCTGTGGGGAGAGAAGCATGAGCAAAGTCCCTGAGGTGAGAAGGAGCGTGGCCTGTGTGGCTGGTCCATATTGAATGTGGGGCAGTTGGGTCAGGGGAGCAATGAGGGGTGGACAGTAAATTTCATAATACTTGGCTGCTTTTATTCAGGATCTGATGCTGCAGAGTCAAGTAGCAGCCTGAATTCCATGACATGGAGTTGGGATTTTATTCCAAGTACAGTAGGAAGCTATCAGAGAGGTGTGTTGTGGCTTGTTTTTGAGATGACGATGGCTGTTTATGGAGGATGGAAGGATGTGAGCAGAGCCTGAGAGACTGCGGTGGGTGTCTGGCTGGAAATCACGTGGCCTGGAATGGGATGTGGGTGCTGGAGATGAGAGAAGTGGAGGGTCTCAAATCTATGTTTTGTTTTTTTTTTTAAGAGAGAGAATTTTAATATTTATTTTTAGTTTTCGGCGGACACAACATCTTTGTATGTGGTGCTGAGGATCGAACCTGGGCTGCACGCATGCCAGGCGAGTGCGCTACTGATCCCAAGCCCACATCAAATCTGTTTTTTAAACTCTCTCTCCACTGTGTATGTTTTGGAGGCAGGACAGGATTTGCTCAAGTGGAGGCGAGGAAAAGAAAATAATCAAGCTGAGCTTGGTGATGCACCTGTAATCCCAGGAACTCAGGAGGCTGAGGCTGGAGGATCACCAAGTTCAAAGCCAACCTCAGCATCTTAACAAGAACCTGTCTCAAAATAAAAAATAAAAGGACTGGGGATGTGCTCAGTGGTAAAGCACCTCTGCGTTCAATCGTCAGTGCCCCCTCCAAAAAATAGGGAGAGAAGAATCAAGGATGACTCCAAGTTTTTCTATTTTATCAGTAGTTGGAAGATGGTGTAACCTACTGGGTAGAGTAATTCTGAAACAGAAATTAGTAAATCTGAAAGAGGAATTAGGAGAAAACTCAAGAGCTCTATTTTGCCTGTAATCCCAGCAGCTTGAGGCAGGAGGTTCGCAAGTTCAAAGGCAGCCTCAGCAAAAGAGAAGTGGTAAGCAACTCAGTGAGACCCTGTCAATAAATTTAAAAAATGTGCATATATAAAAATAGGGCTGGGAATGGTGGTGCACACTTGTAATCCCAGGGGCTCCAGAAGAGGCTGAGGCAGGAGGATTGAGAGTGCAAAGCCAGCCTCAGCAAAAGCGAGGTGCTAAGCAACTCAGTGAGACCCTGTCTCTAAATAAAATACAAAATAGGGCTGAGATGTGGTTCAGTGGTCGAGGGCCCCTGAGTTCAATCCCCAGTACCATAAATAAATAGTAGAAAAGCTYCATTTTGTCATGCCAGGTTTAAGATACCTCCTAGAAGCCTAGGTGCAGATACAGAGCAGATAGCCAATCTGTCAGCCTGGGGTGCTAGTGACAGGTGACAGCTGGGGTGTATACTTGAAAGTGTCTCTGTAAGGGCACTGTTTAAAGTCAAGAGGACTGAAGAAATCCACAGCGATGGAAGGTACATTGGTGGTTACTTAGGGCTGGGGAGAGGAAGGAGATTGGGGGTGACCACTTGAGATTAAAAGGCTTCTTTCTGAGACAATGGGAATGTTCTAAAGCCGACTGTGGTGATGGTCATACAACTTGAAAGACTAAAAACGATAGAATGGGTGTATTGTATGGAATGTGGATTATATTTCAGTAAACATGTTTAAAACAAGTCAAGGGGATACARAGCTCTCCCTTGAGAGGGTAGGACCAAGAACCGAGCTGTGAGGCCCTCACATTTCTAAGGTAGGAAAGGGTGAGGAGCCCACCAAAGAGCCTGGAGAGAACAGCCTGGAGAGAAATTTACCATCCCCCCTTCCCTGGTCCCCAAACTCAGCTGCTGCATCCCCATCTCCTGGGTCTGAACCAGGGAAAATGCTCTCACCTTGTGGGCTGCCTCCTCTTGGGAGGTTGGGAAGGTGGGGCGCCTCCTGGAGGAAATTTGGGGTACTGCAGTAGGAATGAGAGAGGGAATTGGTGAGACTTAGCAGGCCATTGGAGAAGTCGGCTCTGCTGGCTGTCAGTCATTTTTCGGCCACCCTTTAAGACCCTCTCCAAGGTGGGTGTCCACATGCCAGCTCTCCTAAGGCACCAACGTGAGAGCTTTCAGAGGGTTCTTTGGGAGTGTCCTTACCGCTGAGCATAACTGTGGGGCACCAGGTCTTCTTCCATGCCACCCTCAGCCACGCTGCTGCTTCTGGTTCCATTTACCCAGAAAAATGGCTCCAGCTCAGCCATCTGGCCTGTGACCACGGTCCTCGGGGAGGCCTCCTTTCTGTGCGCAGTGGTGGGTGCAGCAGCCTCTCTCCGATTGCCTTGGTCCCTGGTGTGGCAGACCCAACAAGCCCCACTAGATCAAGGCTTGGTGGCTTCACCCCTTCACCTGCCATCCAAACTCCAGACTTCTTTGGGAAAACGGGGTGGTAAAGAGCTGCGTTGATGGGCGAGGGGAGCAGGATCAGACTCGGTGTGTGTTGTTAAGCCCTCGCAGAAGGTGTTGGCTGTTGGTGGCTTTCTCTGGAACTTGAGGCCCTTGATACCCCGCTGTCCTCATCTCTGCACCTTAATGGACAGTTACGGGGTAGCTGGAATTGTCTCTGTTCAACATCCTGTTATAGAGATCTCTCTAACCCACAGGAATGAGGAGGGCCCGGGAAGTGACAAGAGAGGTGGGAACGGGTGGTGCTGTCCCCTGGGAACAGGTGACCTGAGTGGGGAGGCTGAAGAGATCACATAAGTCTCTCCCTTCTTTGCTCTGCCTCCTTCCTGACACTGCCCTCTGAGCCAACACTCAGAATCCTAGGCCCAGGGCCAAGGAGGACAGGACTACCCTTCAGCACCTGGACAACTGTGTGGGCTGCCAAGATCTGCTCCCCCCACCAAGGCCCTGGGCTAGGCCTGACACTCCTCCCTCTCTGGTCCTGCAGCCCCCACCACTCAGAGGAGCTCTCCTCTCACGACGGGACCAGCACCCACCTCGGGCCCTGACACCTCTTCCACTTCCAGCGCAACCCTGATTATACCTAGACTCCTCACCTTGGCCAGACGCTTGCCCTCCACTGCCTCAGGGACCACCGGGCCAGCCTCTGTGACCGGCTACAGCTTCATCAGTACCAGAGCCATCACCACGGGACCCACAAAGACCACGGGACCCACGAAGACCACGGGACCCCCATGGGTGACAGTATCTCCCAGTGATGCCAGAGTCTCCCCTGCCATCCCTACATCCATCTCCACCACATCCGGGTACCACAGCAGCCACTCGCCCACCACGGGAATATGCCACAACCAATTACCCTCCTTCAGGTACCTGTCGGGTGACATTTCCCTACATGTGACCCCAGCTTGTGGGCCCTGAACAGACCTCGGGGCAGCTGTTGTTCCATCCCCACTGGAGCTCTCTATGCTTCCCACATCAGGGTGACCTTCCCCTTTTGCTCCCCAGGACCTTATTGTGGACTGCTGCTATTATGGGAGGTGGGTGACTGGAGGGGACATAAAGGAGGCAGTGGGGATGAGCAGCAGGACTGAGTCTCCYGAAGAGTCTGGATGGAGAGTAGAAGGGAAGGACCCAGGAAGGGAGTAGGTATTTTTTTTTTTTTTAGTCCTTGCAGATTGAACCCAGGGATGCTTTGCCACTGATCTACGTCCTCAGTCCTTTTTTAATTTTTAATTTTGAGACAGGGTCTCATTAAGTTGCTGAGGGTCTTGCTAAGTTATCGAGGCTGGCCTCAAACTTGCAATCCTCCTGCCTCAGCCTCCTGAGTCACTGTGATGACAGGCATGCCTCACTGTGTCAGGCTAGAGTAAAGGGACAGAGAGTGGGAAATGGGGGATACTTTAATGTGGGTCCCCCAGAAGCCGACTCTGAGATAAAGACTGACATCTTGTTTGGAACACTGGAATGTGGGTGGGGAAGAGGAACAGGGAAGGGGAGGTGCCAATTACCCTCGTGCCCACGTGAAAACTTAATGTGGGGGGGGGGGACTCTGGATCCAGTGTCACTTATGGGAAGGTCGAGGGAGCTGGAACGTATACACCAGCTACTGTGGGTCACAAGCACCGCTGCCTGGTGTGGGTGGCACAGAGAGCTCCAGTGGGGAAGGAAAGTTCTTAGGACAAAAATGTTTCGCTGATGTCCATGGAAATGCTGCGGGCGAGGGGGTGCAGGCTGGCCTCCACCCAGAGGAGAAAGGGGACAAGAGGTGGTCTCTGTCACCAAAGAGAGTAAGAATCTTGATCCCTTCAGTCACAACTGGGAGTCTTAGTGTCCTGCTCCTCCCAGATTGTCATATTTGGGGACACAGTAGAGGAGAGGCATCGAGGTGGAGAGATGCCCCCTCCTCCTGGGGACGCCCTCCCTGGAACTCTGGGTGCCTCGCTAGCTTCTGCCTCAGCTGGTCCCCAGGACGGGAGGCGATGACTGCAAAGGCGAATGCGAGTGCTTTCTTTCTGGTCCGGCCTTTCTAGCGCGGCGAGCGAGCACACAGTGGGAGCTGGTCTCCTCCTGCCCTCTGTTCTGCTCCACAGGCCCCCGGACTCTCACCTCACCGTGCTGCTGGCCATGCTGACCTTCCTCCTAGCGTCCATGATGATGGTCATGGTCTATGGCTTTTGGAAGAAGAGACACATGGGAAGTGAGTGGAGCCACCTCTGAGCCTCTCCAGGGAGTAACTGTGCCAGGGGCTGTGACCCCAAGTCCCGGGAGGGGGGCAGGGTCCCTCATCCTGTGTCCAGTCAAGAGGACCATGAGGCACCTGGCAAGGGAGGAGGTGGCCTAGTATCTCCCTAAGGGGATGGCCTTGCAGGAATGAGGCAAAGCCAGGGTTCCGGGGCCCTGGGGCTCTGGGCAGGGCCTGCACCCCATCTCCCTGTCTCTTACAGGTTACAGCCTGTGCAATGATTCTGCTGGAGCCTGGGCAGAGCCACCAAGAAGACCAGAGCCCCTGTGGAAGCCGGCTGAGTTTGAGACCACTTAATGACAGGATGTCTCCCAGGGAGACACTAGGAGGCCAGATGAGGAATGGAGACCAGGGACTGTCCTGAGGGGAGGGGGGACAGCTAAAGCTGCCCTTTTTTCCACCCAGGGTCACTGGGTCCTCAGCATCCTCTGTTCTCATCAAGTTTCCCCATCCATGTGGGGTCAAGAGTTGGGGCTCATGAGCCCAGAGGCAGCTGATGTTCCAACAATCCCACGCTGAAGAGGAGAAGGGACAGTGACTAAGGGATGGGTCCACAAAGGGGTCGGTATTAGCAGATCCCAGAATTGTCCAAAGCTTCCCATTTGGCCATGTGTCCTGTGATGGGGCCTCTGCCTGCTGCAGCTGCTGGCCCCTGCCCCCCCAGAAGCCTGCACCCCACCACTGCCACCTGCCGCTGGCCCCTCTTGGGAAGCCGAGAGYCCTTGGCTGAAGGCCGGCCTCTGCAGAAGCCGAACTCAGGACTCTCTCCCAGGATCCTGCACCTGGGTTTCAGGTCTGAGTTCCCAGATGGTCCTGAGGACGCAGCAGCCTCCGTCCTCCATCCTGGGGTGTTCGAAACCCCAGCTCTGCAGAGGGTGCTCACCCACAGACACTGGTGGAGGGGCTATGGGGTCACCCCCTCATCCCCAAGGGGCTTCTGTCCACTGGGAAAAAAATGACTCACTTGTGACACGGTGAAGACAACTCAGAGCTACCTCGGCCTGGAGAAGTGGCCCAGGAAGGCGCAGGCAGAATGGGACCCAGGAAGCCTCAAGCCAGGGGTCCACGGCCTGCAGAGCCTGCCTTCCGCTCGTGGCTCCGAGTTSGCCTCCGCGGTCTAGACCCCTGTCCTGGAATCTAGCAGTGAAGGATGAGGGGTTCCATCAGCCTGCAGTGACTGGAATAGCACCAGGGATAAGTGTGACATCTGTACCCTTGGCCTTGGCTCAGGGACCTCCTGGTGAGAGAGCAAACCTCATGTCAGGAGGGCGACATAACTGGGGCCTTGGTAGGCAGCTGGGGGAGCACCTCAGGATGGCTGTAAGAAGGGGGACAATGCAGGGAGGGACACCTCTTCCATTCATCCAGCAGAGGGCAGAAGGAGGATTCAGGTTGAGCAACTGACAGAACTGGTCCCAGGACGGACGGACGGACAGACAGACAGACAGACACACACACCACACACATGATGACCTCAATCTGGTCAGCAAGCAACCTGCTAAGAGCCACTGCCCTGGCGTGTGACTAGGAAGGGCTTAACTTATCTGGGGGAAATGGCTTCTGGAGACCCCACCACCACATTGGTGACCCTTTGCCAGCATCACTGACAGTCCTGATGGCACCAGCTCCCAGAGAGAGAGGCCCGATGGGAAGGGCACTGGAGAAGGAGTCAGGGATGGGGACCAGTGATGCCACGGTCACTGTGTGACCCTGAGCAAGTCACTAACCCTATCTGGGCCTCATTTTCCTCTCTTATGAAAGGGGACAATAATTCCTACCTCTCAAGATTGTTTTCAAAGTACAACAAAATGACACAAACACTGCAAATGTGTGGATGCCGTGATGTTCCTGCMGCTCGGGTTCTTCTCTGGTTCTGCTTCTCACATTTTGCATTTAAGACCTCGCGACGCCAGTTCTCTGCTTCATCCTCTCCCCAAGTCTCCTCAGTACATGGGTGTCGGGGCCTGAGACGCAGCTCCTTTGGTGAGGAGTGAAGGGACTGGGGCTGGTGAGGCAGTGACACTGAAATCAAGGCTGGGGTCCAAATCCCCAATGCAGCCCCTCATCCCAGTGTGACCTTGGCCTGTCACCACCCCTTGCTGATCTTTTTTGCTTATCTGGAAAAGGAGGATGGAGATGAGCTTTGAAGACCCTCCCATCACTTCCCAGGTCCAAGGCATGTGCAGGCCCATTCCGTGTCCACGACTCAGCCTGGGGGAGGCAGGGAGGTTGGGGAAGAGCAGTCAGCCCTGGCCTCAGTCAGCCCATGGCTTCAAGGAGAGGGGTGACATGGTGTGGCCTTCACTCAGGGGCAGAGGGCTGGAGTCCTTTGGGGGTGGGAGACCTGGGGATCCAGTGGTCTCAGGCCAGCCAGGCAAGCTTCACAGAAACGTGAGCCCCATGGGAGGCCTGGAGCACAGGTTGCAATCAGGAGGTAAGGGACATCTGCAGGGTCCTGGGAGTGGGGGCGCCCAGGCCAGACAGGCCCTGGCAGCTGGGAGCTGTGGGCAGGCCTGCTGGAATGGGCTATGGAGGGACAGAAGGGGCCTGAGGGAGGTACCAGCTGGTGGGTGCTAGACACAGGCAGAGGCCTTGAGATGTCCCCTGGGTTCAGGCAGGGCTGCGTGGGGACCACCAATCGGCCTTTCTGACCACACTGGGGGCTTCCTGAAACTGGGGGGGAAACTGCATGAGCTGTTCACCCCGAGAACCTGCGTTTTAGTCAGCTTTCTCACCGCTGTGACTAAAGGACCTGACCATGCCAACTGCAGAGAAGGAGCACTTTATTTGGAGTCTTAGTCTGCTCCATTGATTTGGGCTCCAAGGGAAGCTGAACGTCATGGTGGGAGAGGGTGGCAAGGGGAAGCAGCTCACGTGGTGATYAGAAAGCAGAGAGACTCCACTCACCAGATGCAAATATATTCCCACAGCCACGCGCCAATTCCCACCTCCTCCAGCCACACCCACCACTTTAGTTACCAGTCAATCCCTGCCAGGAGATTAGATCACTGATTGGGTTAAGACTCTCACAACCCAATCATGTCTCCTCTGAACCTTCTTGTGTTGTCTCACATGTGAGATTTTGGGGGACACCTCACCTCCAAACCATGACACGTGGGGACTCCTTGGTAGGAATGTGGCGTACTGCGAAGGAACTATAGAACTACGTCCATCTTGCCAGTTCCTATGGGCCTGAGTGGCCTCCCGGTCTTTCTCCTCAAATCCCCGGGCTCTGTCTCCTTCCTGTCCTCACCCTTCTCAGGTGAGCTTGGGGGTGGGGAGCCAGCTCCACTGTGGTCAGGCAGGGACAGGCGGGGCTGGCAGGGTTCCAGACAGGCCAGGGATACTGCTGGCCCCAGTGGGAGAGARCAGGGCTCCTGAGACCAGTTGCTACCACTGGAAGGAACGAATAAAGTAGCCCCAGCCCCTACGGGTTGCACACACTCCTTCTGTGAAGTCTGACAAACCAATGTCAGATTCGCCACTCTCCCATTGGCCCTGAATGGGGTTTTCAATGCGGATCACACAGAGGCGCAGGTGCCTGCTCCCCCTTCAGGACTGATGGGCGTGTGGCCAGGAGTAGCGAGGGCAGAAGTTTCTTCTGCTGGCTTCTGCTGTAGAAAGTTCCCTTGCCAAGGCCAGACCTCCCTCCCCCATCCCAGGACACCCTGCCTTCCTGCTGAGGGCCATTACCAAGTAGGTATGACGCATCGTAATCCTTGCCAGTGTACCCCATGTTAAATGGACTTGCCTTGGAAATTTGCTGCGACCTTGCTTGTGTGTTTGAGAAAGATGACCCTGCTCAAGGTGATCGAGGGT